TCGTTTGAACTGCTTAATTTTGCTGTGATGTTTCAGGCTCCCCAAATTATGCCTCGAAGCAATGTTGAGTGATTCACATAAACTGTGTCTGAGCTAGAAAGAGACATGTGAACAATGATGGAGTCACAATTATAGAGCAGATATTGGAAGCAGAGCCGCTTTTAATGTGGCTTAGCTTCCTGTGCAGATGATCTGACAGCAGGCATCTGGGGTCTATTTTTAAATCACAGTATAAGTGCTGCAGAACTGCCCTCTCAAAGTCATCTTTACTTCAGTAAACCATGGCCATAAATCTCCACTTTCAAATTTCTTTTATGCCAATATCATTCCTCCATGAAGATCAGAGCAGCGCATATGGCATGTCCACCAGCACCACCCTCTTTCTCAGAACTACCCTATGAATCAGGCTAGGATGAAAGACAGCAAACGGTTACACGAAACACTGGGTCTCAGTGAGTTCTTGACCTCATATCTCTTCAGTACAAACCCAAAATGCTTGCACCGTGGTGGATCGCCATTTAGTTAGAGGTAATACAGTATAGCTCTGTAGGCAAGCCCCCGGGGATATCTGCAGCGATGGCTTCATGTTAGACCAGTCAGTCCTGTGTATGTGGAACACCTTTTCCTCTCTGACAAATTTTTGAAGCACTGCAGGGAAGTATGGCTGAAATACAGGGCTCGTGTCGCACAAAGGATCTGAAACAGTTGTGGGGAATGCGTGGCAATACAGATGTTGCCAGATGGGGAAAGACTGGAAGTGCAGTCTAGCTAGCTAGGGATGATGAAAAAAGCAGTAACCGAGAACAACTGGAGGACCACGAGACACCTGGCTTTATTGGGAAGTGTAAACCTCTTCCCGAGTGGCTGTCAAAACCCTTCCCTTTGTGATTAAGTACAAACATGAATATGCAGGTCATATGTTAGAACATGCTGCGCAACACACTTGTGGGCCGCCCCCGCAAAAGGAGGCAGAATAATACTGACCCCAAATCTTAACTAATCTCCTTCTGCTCTCAATCTCCACGGCAACATTCTCCCACTGAAACAGTCCAGGCCGAGTGGCTTTATTTTTAAACACCAGTCCCTCCAACCTCTACCTGCACAGAGTCTGTTTTCATCTCGGGCTCCGTTCTCCCGAGGGATGAGGTTTCCTCCAAGAACCTACAAGACACGGTCGCTATGGCAACAAGCGGTAGCCGAGTCACCAAGGTTGGCGCTACCCCTGATAGGCCGCAAGGGCGGCTGTTCCCAGGCCGGTTCTGCAAATCGCAAACGGCACAGGCTCAGTCCCCTCACCTTAGGCGGTGTGCAAAGGAAAAAGCCAGGCGCACTCCGCTGTATATTGCACATACTCTTCTAGGAACAAGGAGGGTTTCAGTTCATCTGACAAGCCCCAGCTTAGCACAGCCCTTCAAGAGCTGCTGATTTTGTTCCCTCTTTAATAGGCAGAGAGCTCAGCAGTACAGATCAAAACAGATGACGGAGAAAGAAGGCAGCCAGCGTTCCCGCAGGCGTGTACTTACAAAGATTAATGCCTTCGCTCTTTAGATCTCTCCCACTTCCGAGGCCCAATGGAAGCACAGACCTTGGAGTCTTGTTTCAAACTATTCCTTGATGGCAAAAGCTCCAAAGGAGCAGCTCGTATTAGAAAAGGGGTGCATTAATTATCTTCCACTGCACGGTTCATACCATGGGTCTCTGCAATATTTCAAGATCACCCAACAAACTGCTCTGAAGCTTTCCAGTTTTCCAGATATAATGATGACCCAGCAGCTCATTGCTCCTGTTAACTCTTCCACAAAATGTTTCTTTGACAAAGAAAATAGTAACCCAGGTTACTATTTTCTTCCTAACCCAGGGTTGGGAAGGAACTAGTTAAAAAAACCTACCTAGCTACTTCTATTTAAATGCTTTTCCCCAAAAATAAAGTTATAATGATGTTAGATAACAAGGCTAAGTTAATAAGTAACAAATGAATTCCTTTTGTGACATAACTAATTATTGTCAGATAGTGATGATGGCCTATTGCAACAGCAGTATTTTTATTGTATGCATCCCAATTATGTCCAGAAAATGGAAATGTAAAGTAATTTTTTGGAATTGTAACCATGACGGCAACCACTTTTTGGCCTAGTTTGGTACTATACCTAATTCGTTTTTACAATCAACTGTCCAAGTTCTGTTAAGCTGCAATTAAACAGGAAGCGCATTTATTATTTCCTTTATTTTATATCATGTGTAGGCTCCCTTTCTCCCAATGAGGGGACAATTTAGAACAACATCAGTAAGACAACAGGTACACAAATGCAATGAGATCTGCTAACTCTGTTCAGCACACACGTATGTGTGTGTGTTCTTTGCTCTCAAGTCGGAACCGACTTCTACCAACACTTGTGGTTTCCTCTAAGATGCGTGCACATGCACACACCTTTGCCCCCCTCCACAAAGCACTCCTCCTCCTCCTCCTCCACACACCCACAGCAACCATTTTCAGCTCCTTTTGTTCCTCATCATGGCAGAACTCCACATGGTGGGCAGCATCCCACGCACAAGGTCCAGACCCGCACCCAGCAGGGCTGACAGTTAGAGGGAACATTGCAACCCTAACAGTGCTTTCAAGGTAAGTGAGCTATTTAAATATGGTTTTCACCAGTTCCATTCCCCTAGTGAGTTTCCATGGCCCAGTAGAGATTTGAACCCTGGCCTCCACAGTCCTAGTCCATCACTCTACCCACTAGGCCACACTGGCACACATATCAACTCCATTTACAGGGTGCTGTAACACAGCAACCCCTACTTGAAGACAATGTTAGTCTGTCGGCCCTCTGGCAATGGCCTCTATCATCAAAGGACTATGAAGAAATCAAATCTGACTGCTCACCTGCAAGATCTGTGCTCCCCATTGCAGCTGTCTTTATAAAGGAGCAGTTAAATACCTGTCACACTACTTATATGGAGTTTTAGATATAAACAACACTTCCAGATATAAACAAGGTGTATAAAAAGCAATTAGGGAACCACATAATAATTGCAAGTGAATAAACATTTAAAGCGGGAAAGGGGTAGTTCTAGTAAACAGCAACAAACTCTTGAAGGAATAAGAATTGTGAAAATAAGAATCCATGCATCATTAAATTATGGAAGTATGCATTTGCAAAAGCAAATCATTTGAAATTCTAAGATAAGGATCCATGAAACAAATGCTGTGACTCCAAAAGAAGAAGAAAAGAAAAAAAGGGGGGCTCTTTTCTGCCCAAATCAATTTAACAGGGACCTTGGCAATAGACTGACATACATGCAAATTCAATGTTAAATCATTTGGGGATAAAATGTTTTAGGTGTAAGTCTCCCAGAGCCTAGAAGAGGTTTCCTAGGAAAACACTGCCACCTAGTGGATGACATGTCCGTTCACATTTTGGATTTCCATTTGGGCAAATGAAAGCTCTGAGAAGAAAACAGAAGAGTCAGGGATACTAGCACTGCAATTCTCTGGGAGTCACTGAGAAACAAAACGTCTCAAACCCTGCCACAGTCCATCACAGGCAAAAGAAGAGCTACAGAAGGAGATGGGCAGCGTTGATTCTCTGTTTCCTGGTAAGGGCGGGGAGGGTGAGCAGTATCCCCACAGAAAGATCTCAAAGAATCACAGAACAGAAAGTAGGGTTTGCATTCCTAGAAGGACACACACAGTCATCTGTACTGCATTTAGGAGAATCAGACCTCCTTGATTTCCAGTTTAGCTTAGTTACACAAAAATTGGTTAAGGTTATACCTTAACCAGTTTTAAAAAATAAGCACGTGGTCAAAACCGTTTCTCTTATCTCCCACTTATTAGCTCTGATATAATCAGACCTAGACACCAGGTGTTGTTCTGACCTTAGATTTCTCTCTTCCGCCTCCTCCCTTTCACAGAATGAGGGATGGCTGCCGGAGTTATTTTGAATCAGACTGTGATTCAGCATGGCAGTTTAAGACAACCTCTTCCTTTCCCAACCTGCAGATCCATTTCACCTCCTGCAGACACTTCAAAGTGACATCAGGGAAGGAGTTGCTCATAAGCTCTTAGTATTCCCGATCTTGGAAGAGAATTCAGTATGATTCAATCTCTGTGCACAGTATAACCTACAGTATAGTCTATTATCCCTCACTTGCATGCAGGTCCTTCCCTCTTGCTTTGCCCTTCAAAAGCAGAGTAAGAGGGGGAGGGAGGGGGAGAGGCCAAACGACTTCCCACATTTTTTGCTTGCTCCCAGGCTCTACCACACTTTCTGCAAGGTAGAAGTAAAGTAGATTCGTAAAATTCTGGAACAGAGGCCAAGTGGCATTCAAACAGTGAACTGAAATTTAAACAGTTGTGTCTTAGCTAAATAGTTGGCCAGAGGATTGTGGGAAATGCATTTCAATATATATGGAGGGCACGAAGTGGCAGAAGTAGACATCCCAGGTAGACATGGTCTAGAGGGGCGAGGTAAAAATCTAATCAATCAATCAATCAATCAATCAATCAATCAATCAGGTTGCCTTAAAGCAATGGTTCCCAACCTTGGGTCCCCAGACTGCAACTCCCAGAATCCTACACCACTAGCTGTGCTGGCTGAGATTTCTGGGAACTGTAGTCCAAGAACCTCTGGGGACCAGAGCCTTAAAGGAAGCTACTGTTTTGACGGACCCATTGTATTTTGTTGTACAACCAGACAGAACAGAATTGACAGCCACAGCAAGAGGCTTCGCCACCAGTCAAAAAGGACTAAACTAAACTGGAGACGCTAACTACTGGATAATAGTCTTTATTTAGCTTCAATCTTAGTTCGTTTTCCATCACAATACAGTGTACACAAAGTTTTTCCCTTTGCTGCTCAAACTCACAGAACAGAATCTGGGAGCTGCATTATTTTGCAGTTCTAAAATACACCCAAAGCCCCGTCTGTACTTCCATGTGGACTGTTCATACTAACAACGACTGAAAGCAGAGGATGTCCCCTGTCACCTCAGTTACTCACCCTGATCAATAGAATGCTGAGGAAGCTGGCTAAGCTGACTATTCACGACCCCGGCATATGTCCGCAAGAACTCCTCTTCGCTGGTGGTTAACTGGAAAATGGACAAACCAAAGTAAATCCACAAAAACAGAGCAGAAAACACAACCAGGAACAAGATCCACGCCAAGCTACAATTCCATTTCCTTATTGTTTGTTTTTTATCACTTGAAAGTCACATAAGCAAGGCTTGTAGTTTGAAGCTGCTGCTTCACAAAAATTTCAAATTACTGAATGACCTATACCAAAATAATGTTTAGGTAGTGATCCATGTGGTCTACCAATCTGGACATACAGATTTAAATTAAATTTCATTTCCTCCCATCATTTAAGACCCTATTTTAGGTCCAAAAAAGACCTGAAGATTCATAATATCCCCAAGTAGAGCACATTGCATACAGGGACGAAAGTATATATTGGTGAATTAGCTCCATTTCTCCAGTGATACTAAATGGATTCATTTTGCAGCTTCGTATTTCAAGTATCAGGAAGCAGAAAAAGGACTGAATCCTTGACATAATCCCAAACATAAATTATTAGCCTATGGGGTACAAGCCGGAGGCAAGAGTTTAGTACTGCTTTACATAATTTCATCAAAATCCGCTTAGCCTTTGCCCACACGGTGCTTCAGATGTAAAGCCAAGCAGAAGTGGCATTAAGCTGAACTACTTTTCAAAACAGACTCGGTTTAAGAAGTCACAAATTGGGCCTATAAACAGGCACTAACCCACTTCCCTGCAGTAACCAGGAATCCTCTCCAGGCATGCAGGCAAGGAACTTTTCACCAACTGGAAAACAGTCCATTCTCGTTCCTGACGACCCTCATTGTGCAATAATGAAGATAGCTACTAGAAGGTTGGTAAACATTCTGGACCAGCAACAGTAAGGACTCTTGTCATCAAGGTGCCTTATAATACTTACATTTGATCCCATCTTCCGAAGCATAAGGAGGACCCTCACTTTTTGCTGAATGTACATCTCCTCCGGACTTTTCCCGGGGACGCCCTCACGGTTCATTCCCCTCTTCCCAGTTCCTGAGACTCCTAAATATTTGATGTCAACAAAAATGACAAAGGCAAAGAAGCTGACTATGTTAACGGCGGAAAAAGGAAGTTGCCAAATGATGTTAAGCGCTAAAGCCATCATTGTTCTGCTGACAGAAGCGGAATGGTTGGGACCTGTTCCTCCTGGTATGTCATTCAACTCTGCCAGGAAATGTCATGGACAAATCAGTCTCCTGGGGGCAGTAAGCCTGAGCTGCAATCCAGTAAAACTGACAAGTGCATTTTCCACAGGGAGGAAATAGTGTACAGCTTCTTCTGGGTATGGAGGGGAAATGTTGCATGAACACTTGCCATAGGACTGCAGTTCTGTGCATACACCAGACAAGGCTGACAGGCTCAAAGCGCTGTGACGTTCAAATGACAGGGGGCAACTATGTTATTTGTCACCCTCTTAGTGAGTACATGACTCTATGACTGCCTGAGGATCCTGATCAATTGAGCATTACAATCAGTGTACTGTTTGCTTTGAATTAGCAGCAATATTTAGGCTGGTCTCTTAACTTGTTCAAAGCTACTAGGTGGAATTTTAAAATGTATGCTAGAATGCTATGCACAGCTGACAGCTTCTCTGCACTATCTTTCAATTCCAGTGCGCTACAGACCTCTCACAGTTCACAAAGAGAAAGAAGCAAAAGAACTGACAGGAGAGAGAAAGAGCCAAGATTACCTGCCTGCCTAGGAACCTCAGGCTGTGAGAAAGTTCAGTGAATAATGGCCAGACAAAAGAAATCAGAGATTCACCGTAGGCCTTGGAGAAAACATGCGGGGCACCTCCTGCAAAAGATATAAAGGAGATGAGAAGCAAGCATTTGGCCTTAAATTAAGACACTTGGCAGCCCTCATTTAAACCACAGTATTGGATGTACAGGCCTCCAGATGTTTTTGCATGAGGACTTCCACTATCCCTTGACAGCACAGCCAGTATCTAGGGACGACGGAAACTGCTGTATAACCTCTGGAGGGTGACATGTTCCCTACCTCTGGCTTAAACAAAACGAGTGCACGTATGTTTTAGCAGCTGGTGCTCAAAGGTTTTAACTGGGGCTTCCCAACTCAGTGTCTTCCAGATGTGCCGATTCACAATTACTCTGATCCAAATACAACGTCTGGAAGGTACCAACAAGGAAAGGATGAAATAACCAAAAGAGACTCGAACCCACTGGTTTTCTGTTTATCACACACAATGTGTGTCGTTGGCCTCTGTGAGACCAAAATAAGTTTCATTCACCAGATAAAAGACGAAAAGGATGTCAATCTCTTTCTAAGGGCACAAATGGTCACTGAACACACCACTGAGAATATTTCGTGAACAAGTTCTAAGACATTTGGCTTTTGAAAATCTAGAGTCAGACTGCTCATGGGATAAACACGAGGCATCAAAATGGGCTGGATCTGGAAGGAAAGCTTTCCTTGTCAGAGACCAAGCAAGATGGTACTTGTTTCGTCTTTCTGACATCATCCAATATTATAACCTAAATACCTTCAAGGTAAATCAGTGTTTTTTCATGTGACCTAAGAAATTTTCTTCTGGCATTTACTATCCAATATTCACATATTCATCATGGGCCGTGCTTCAAGGTAAATCAGTGTTTTTTCATGTGGCCTAAGACATTTTCTTCTGGCATTTACTATCCAATACTTACATATTCATCATGTTGCAGTTTTGGTGGCCTGCAATAGCCAAATGACTTTCTAAGGATCCCACAACATGGCCTATGTGTTCAGCCCACTATATGGCCCAAGGATGTCCTGAGGAAAGATGCATTCTAAGCATACTACAATGTACGGAGGTATCCGTACGGAGGTACACAGAGTTTAAGTTACTATAAAACAATGCCACTCTGGAAACTAAAAAGCTCAAGCACTTCATTCTGCAGCGCATAAGTAATTTTGAAAAAAAGGCAAGAATTAAACATTTCTTGCTTCATCTTCCAGCAGGTGGCACCACTCCCAAAGATCAAAGAAAACCCACCACTTCAGACCAATCCCGCACAATTCAGCAGGGTCACCCTAAGCTACAGGCAGCAACCCCTTTTTACTTAATTCCTGCCAGGAACAGGCAGAAGGCATGAAAGGAAGACAACAGAAGGTAGGCGAGGAAAAGGAGGGAAAAGTGAAATCATAGGACAGGCATTTATTTGTATCGTCAGCAATATCTTATTCTGGTAAAGCTTCATATGAGGATATGGAAAAATATTAAATATAATTCAGATATTCTAGGGAAAAAAGTTATTTCCTTGATCAAAACCCTCGTCCAATTGTATTTACAAAGACCTTCATGACATTTTACCAGATGTTGCACTCAGGACTCATAAGCACTGTCACGAAATGCACTGGCGTTCAAGTCGAACTAGGTTTTTGCAGTCACTTACCTGACTCTGTCCCGTGAAGAAATCTTACTGGAACACTCAGCTCTAATCTGTTAAATCACAGCTCGGAAACGCCACAAAACCCCACGCTGAGGAGAGAAAGCACAAATGTTACAATACCATCAAAAGCTATCTGTTTATTTCCTCGCAGTGTTTTCAAACCACGGTGCCTTTAAGAAATGCCCAAGCAGTATACAATCATAGGTCAAGGCTGTTCATATATTTTGGATATTTTCAAGCACTGTCAAATCAAGAGCACTTGTTTTCTTCTGTACAACTTATTGTACCATGATTTATGTTTTGTTCTTCAGACTTCTTGGGTCTACCTTCTTCTCTAAGAAGACAAATGATGATGTCTCAGTACACCACAAGACAACTACAATGAACCAGAGGTTACGTTTTTAGTGGTTCCGTGTGAAAACTCTCTCCTCTTACAGTGTCTCAACACGTAAATGGACACATGGTAAAGCAATAAATGGTTTCTTTAAATTTTGCATGGTAGATAGCTCTCAAATAAATTTAGGTACTGATCACTTCATGCGAAACATACAGGAATCTTAATGGAAAGTTAAGAATTCATCTTCACAAGATTTGCTGGTTGACCCAGCTGGGGGGAAAGCCATCTTGTTGCTAGTTGAAGGACTAGACACACAAAAAGCAAAGACTGAAATCTTAGGAAGCAGGGGACTGGGGGCCTCGGACAAGTTTGCCTGGCCCTTCTGCCTGACTCTGCACTGCATGTATCTGCACATGCACAGATCCAACTGTCTGGGTGAGGGCCAAACCAACAGGAGCTCTGCAGCCCCATGTCCATCATCCACTTCCTCCCTCTCAGCATAGGGACATCCTGAGAGGAAGGGCGTTTTTCTCTCTCCGTGGCATTTTCCAAACCTCCGACTGAAGAAGGAGGACAAAGCAGTCGTGATTGGGCTAGTGCTCAGTGGACATCAGGCTTGCTTCAAAAGCGTATCAAGAGAGATATGAGGCACATGTGCAAGGACCTCTGTGACAAACTGAAATGGGGCAGAGACAAGGGCAGAATTGTTTCTGGATTTGACTTTTTCATACTTACATGATGGAGAGCTCCATACACTTGTGTACACAAATTCCTCACATGTGTGCAAAATACCCGTTTTCTAGACAGAACCACTTCTACCTGTCATGCCTGTCTTATTTTCATAGAGGTTCATTCATTTCTATGATAAGTTCTAACTCTCTATGAAATGAGCCAGCTGAGAGAATTTTAGGCCATACAAATATCTGCATCCTTGGGGTTCAAATCCCAGGTAGCCGGCTCAAGGTTGACTCAGCCTTCCATCCTTCCGAGGTCGGTAAAATGAGTACCCAGCTTGCTGGGGGGGCAATGTGTAGCCTGTATAATTAAAATTGTAAACCGCCCGGAGAGTGCTTGTAGCGCTATGGGGCGGTATATAAGTCCAATAAATAAATAATGTTGGTGAAAAGTCTGCCATGGTTAAAAAAATCAATCATAAAATGTAATTATAGGGCAGAATTGGTCCTGCCCTGTTACAAACTGATCTCCATGAGGCTGAGATTTTAAACTTCCTACTCCTCACCTTGTGCATCTTGCCTGCCCAACGAATGTCTTTTCACCATTGTTGGTACAGAACAAATGTTTGTGTTCTGGAAGAACCTGTAGTGAAACTAGTTCTCTAAGCCAAGCATGATAGTAATTTCAGGGTGATATGCCCTATAACCCATCCTGCTATTGAAAGAGCAGCAGGAGGAGGTCCATTTATCATTCAGGGAAGCTCATCTGGCACTATTGATCAGATAACCAAAGAACCTGATAAGCTTCCAAGGAAGCTCAGGCATCCTCAGAAGAGTTTGAAAATTACTGATTTAAGTGGCACACACATGTGAGTTTCAATCAGAAGGCCAAGACTGGTAATCCTAAGTGTCAGCTTATTTCACAAAGCATCTGGAAAAGATGCCAGACTAATCCTCAGAATGTCTCCATCAGGAGGGGACGCTGCAGCTGAGATGCCTGCAAATCTCATCCACAGCAGAACTCCCCAGGGATTGTCAGAAGCAAGCTAAATGGACATGCTTTGTAAAAAGAATATCTAGAAGCATTATATTGCCTCCAAGGAAGAACATTCTCTAAACTTTAAAATCTTAACTAGAACTTTCCATAATTAGTTCCCACTATTTTCCCTAGCTAAATATGTAATAGATGCTCAAGATATTTCTGCTGAGGGTGATTTATGGCAATCCATCACCCTTGGAATGCTGTGTACTGTTCTGGTCACTTGCTTGAAAGGGAATCTAGTACAGCTGGAAAAGGTGCAGAGAAGGGCAACTGAAATGATCAAGGTGGCGGAATGTTACTATGATATGGCTTGTTTGCTTCAAAAAAAGTTGAATAAGGAGAGACAAGACAGAAGCGTATAAAATACTGTGGAGAATATAGGTAAGGAGAAGCTGTTCTCCTTGGCTCATGAACATAGACATGAAGTGCAGGAGATTAAGGACAGATAAATGGAGGTCCTTTTTTACACAATGCACTATTAAATGTAAAATTTCCTATACACAATGTAGAACTGGCCACCAGCTCAATGGCTTTAAAAAGAGGATCTGACTAATTCAGACATGGAAACTTTGTATCCATATCCCTGAGGATAGAAGGTCTGCTCCCTCCCCCCAAAACCATGCCGATCCACCCATTAGGCTTCGTGTGGTGGATGCAGCCATTGTCGATAACATCGTGCCAATCAGAGAAGTAACCGGCCGGCCATTCCCCACCTCCCTGCACTGCTGACCACTCTGGTGAGGAGACGGGATGACAAGTCTCCTTGCTCAGTTGCTGAGTGATCAGCATCACAGGGAGGTGGGGAAGTACCAGCTACGCTGCTTGCACAATGTTTCCAACAACCCTGTGCGCCACATGAAGCCCAATGAGCGGACTGCGATAGTTCTGGGATCCAAAGGGCCTGGTGGCAATATTCATATTCATCTCCCCCAGGTGACAAATATCCCATCTCTAGACTAATTCATGGAAGGTGGAGGCACCAATGGCTACTAATCACGAGACATAGGACTACGCTGGTAAGACAGGCCACAGGCATCATTGCTGGGAAGCATCAGCAGGACAATGTCCTTGTGTCCATGCTCTGCTTCTGGGCTCCCCAGAAGCACCTAGGTGGCCACTATGAAACACAACTCTTGAACTAGATAGACCTTCAGCTTGACACTCGTCTTAGTTTTATAGATCTCAGCGACCACTATGGGAAACTTGGAGCTTCAAGATTTGTTGAGAAAAGTAAAATTTCAGAAAACATTCATTTTGCATCATGTTAGTTTAATTAAGAGACAATACCACCACTATTACTTACTGCAACTACACTTGTATGATTTGAAAGTGTTGGTGGGCCAACACACCAAAGATTCATTTGGATCAGTAATTCACAGAATCTACGTGACAAGCAAACTTTTTCTTGACACACGGCAATGTAGCTCAGATATAGCCTTCAGACTGAGATCTGAATGGACCAAGATCTATTGATTAAAGAGACTGCACATTCTGAGAAGGCAGAGTCTAACATTTCTGGCTGAGGACACAAGCCGATACACACACACACAAAAACAACAACAACAACCCACAATCAACTATAGGTTATTCTAGTAAACTCCAAATACAATGTACTGGTCTGTTTTCTGTTTGAGATCTATTGAAACAGGTTCATCATGCAGTAGTCAACCTGAAATCTCTCTGAACACAACTCAATCTTCTATATTCTCTTACTTGCTCAACATCTACATTGCACCAGGAGGCAAACATGCTCAAGCCACAAGCCAGAACTATGACAAAACAAAGGACAGAACTCTGTGACCTTGATCCCAAGGACTCTCTGGCCCATGCTGAAGGATTTCCATTTCAACTAAAAATCTGAAATGTTCAATGATGCACGGACTCCCAAGAAACAGGATCCCAAAATATTCTGTAATAGGATATTTTTGGGGGGGATATGGGGTGTGTGTGTAGATGAATAAGGTCCCAAAAGCAAGCAGCAACGCCTAGCAAGACAGCTGTCCAACAGCTGAATCACTACCAGGGCCTGTTCCATCTCATTCTGCAATTCACAGAGAGCCATAATGGTTCCAGGCAGCCAGAGATGAATTCCATGAGTAGCTTGGCCATCAATTTGCTAGGTAATGCCAGCTTCAGTTACCTATTTGTGGAATCTGAACTCATTACCTACGCTTGCTTGTAATCATTTAGATAACATTAATTTTGACTAGGCAGCACCTCACACAAAGTTACTGACCATAACCTATGTTAGATCTGGTATTTTAAGACTACCTATGTGCATGAAGTTACCAGTAATAAAGCAACTATAGTCACAGCTCTAAAGAGATGTGAACAACATAAAAATCCACAACACTGATTCATTTATGGAATACTTAATGTCTTTTTTGGAATGTGTCAAACTTCTTGGGGCCTCCTGGCATAAGATTTTAAGTCACATTCAACTTGAGACTGAATTTGCCACTGCTAGTTTCTATCAAAAATTCTCAAGTTGTTAATTCAACTTGGTTTTACACAAAGCTTTTCCAGTTCTTCTCATGAAAGACGTAAAACAAGCTGCAACTTTCCATACCTTACCATTTATACACTAAAAGTGGGGAAATTTTTCCTTCCTGGATATGATCTTTGCATTTCTATAGCTTCTTTCATGCAAAGATTTCAAAGGACATTCAGCACATTAATGAAGTCAAATCCAAGAACTCCCCTAGGTAGTTTTATATGACCACATGGAGTCACGTTAACTGTGAATTATTGTCCAGCCTCCTACTCTTTTCTGTCCTTAAGGCATATGCAACCTATTAGTTTTTTGACAACATCACCCTGTCAACAGAAAATGGCTGCCTCTGTTATAATCCAAGTCATCCAATTAATGTTCTTTACCCTTTTAAAGTGTTAAATTTCAGATAAGAGAAGGAAAATTTCATTTCACCTCTAGGCTTAAATATAACTGCAGAATTTATATAAAACTGAACTCTGTCAGAACCAAATAGTGCTAGATACTAGATGTCCAGCAATCATGCAATATTTAAACCTCTTCAG